CTAATAAATTTGAAATGAAATGGACAGGCTTTCAGGAATATTCCATTTATCTGTGTTACATATTAATAGAAAGTCTTACTAATTAAAAAAAGTGAAATCAGCATCCCACAAAGCCCACACCAGACTCCAACCAAATACACTTCACCTTAGATTTGTAATAAAACATTTAAGGAAGAGTAATGTAAATCTTACAGAAGCTCCTCCAGAAACTAGGGGAAAAAAGCCACTCTAACTTATCATATATGGATATGTACTCTTGATAAACAAACCAAATCCAGTTATCAAAAACTAACATCACATCATGACCAGACTTGTTTTACTTCAGAAGAAAGCTGGTTTAATCATAGGAAAGCAATTCTCTGACCACATAAAAAGAATAAAGAGAATAAAGGTGGCAATCAATCATTTTCCTCAATAAATTCAGAAAAAAGTTTTTGATAAAATTCAACAGCATTTAGATCATAAAAAATTCTTTGCAAACCAAGACTAGAAGGGAAATTTCTCAATTCAGTAAAAATACCATAAACTGTCTATGGATCCCTTGGAAAGCATTCCTAGAGAACAGAAAAAAACAAGACTGTCTGAAATGATTTCTATTCAACATTGTAGTGGAGGTCTCTGCAAATGTAATTAGACAAGGAAAACAAAGAAAAGAAAGGTGTGAGAAATAGGAAGACAAATCTGTCCTGACTTGCAGATGATACAACTATATACAGAAAAGTCCAAAAGAATATACAAATTACGAGAATTGACAAAAGAATTTAGCAAAGTGCTGAATAGAAGAATCAATCTAAAAGTTGTATTTCCACAATACTGTATCAGCCAACAAATGAAAAATAAGCAATTTAAGGATTATAATAGCATGAAAAAAATATAAAGAAAACAAGATTAATTTAACAGAAGTATATGGAACTCATCTATGAAGAAGATTACAAATCTTTATCAAAAGGTCTAAAGACCGTAACAATGCAAATAGGTTCATACAACGGAAAATGCACTATTAAAAAGAGGAAACTGTTCATACACTAAATACAATTTTTAATCAAAATTCTAACAGATTTGTTTTGTTTTGAAACTTTTATTTTGAAATTTGTGTAACTCTGAACTTTGTTTAAAAGTGTAAAGAACAGATAACAGCCAATATTTTGAAGAACAAGGTAGAAACATTCCTTTTACCAATATCAAGAACTGTTAAAGCTTTAGTAATTAAGATAGGATGTTACTCGTGTATGAACAAAATGTTAATGGAATAAAACAGGGCCCAGAAATAGACTCAGATAAATATGGGCACTTAACAGATAAAAGATTCGGCATGGCAAATCAACAGAGAGATTTTTTAAGGGGTGGGGGAGTGAACCTGTACACCTACCTCATCCCAAACACAAAACTCAATTCAAGTAGAAGACAAAACTATCATATTTTAGAACATAGTATAGAAGATATTCATGACCTCAGGATAGAGAAGTATTTCTTTAACAACACATTAAAACACCAACAAGATGGGAAAAGACTGATGTATTTCACTAGAAGCAGAAAGATAAACACAAACTGTGAGAAGATATTTGAAATAGTTATAACCAAAGGATTAACCTGAATATATAAAGGAATCCTGTTAATCAAGACATTCAATTTTTTTAAATGGGTAAAATATTTGAACAAGGATTTTACGAAAGAGGAAATCCATGTGGTGGACAAACCTGAGGAAAAAAATAACCTCATAGAAATATGATTCAACAGTGAGGTTTGACAGCAGTTTCTTTAAAAATATACACATATATCTAGAAAAATAACTGAAAAACATCAAAATGGATAACGGACTTATGGGTGGATTTTATTCTTCGAATCATTATTTCTCAAATTCTTTCTTTGGCTGCAACGGGGCTTAGTTGCAGCATGTGGGATCTAGTTTCCTGACCAGGGATTGAACCCAGGCCCCCTGCATTTGGAGCATGGAGTCTTAGCCACTAGACCACCAGGGAAGCTCCTCTCAAATTCTTTAGTGTTGCCTTTACAACATTACAAACCCAGGAGACTTTCTTAAGTTTTAAAAGTCTAACAGCACAAATGTGGAACTTTCCATTGTTACTGGTGAATGCACTAATTGATACTATTGCTTTAAAAAGTTAGATGTCACATAATGAAGACACACATACTCTCTAAGCAAACATTCCACTCCTAGATGTATCCTCAAAGTCACTTAGTCGTGTCCAACTCTTTGCAACCCCGTGGACTGTATAGTCCATGGAATCTCCAGGCCAGAATACTGGAGTGGGTAGCCTTTCCCGTCTCCAGGGGATCTTCCCAACCCAGGAATCGAACCCAGGTCTCCTGCATTGCAGGTGCATTCTTTACCAACTGAGCTATCAGGGAAGCCCTGGTATTCTCAAGGGATGATACGTATGTGCAAACAGGACATAATATACAAAAATGTTCATAGTGGCTTTAGAACAGCAAAACCCTAGGAAAAACTCAAATGCCATCATAGTAGAAAAGACCATAGCTTTGGTATATTTATATGATGGATTACTACACAGTAATGAAACTACAGCTCTATGCATTAACATGGATGACTTCTGCTAAACAAAGTCACAAAGGAATATATGTAACATCTAATTTATTAAATAAAATTTAACATTCCAATACACTTTATTAATGTTTACTTTTGCCTGACTTTTTAGACATTTTTCAGGAATGCAGACATCAGTACTATTCAAAGTATGGTCCAATGACCATACTGAACTGTTACTGGCTGATGAGGACGGAAGCACATGAGTAAGCATGCATTTAGGCAGGCTGACAGCAATTTGATATTAACAAAATGTTCAAACACATTGAGTTTGTGATTACTTGGAAAATTTTTTTAAAGTGGGAGAACTAGCATACGTAACTAGTAAAAAGAAAAAAAAATTTTCATTACAAGCGAAACACTGGTTATCTCTAATGAAGAAATTCAGTGATGTAGTCAGGAAAGGATACACAGAGCCTTTTATGGTGTTGGCAATACTACATTTCTTAATCTGAGCGTGGGTTATTGAGTATGTGCTTTATAATTTTATTTCTCTTTAAGCTGTACATGTTTAATACCCTGTTTACAATTCTTAAGAGTTTTAAAAATTTGTTATAGATAATACCAATTCTTTAAAAATATATACATTAATCTATAGACTGAAACACATCAAAGTAAATGGTGGACTACTGGTCAGTTTTACTCTGTGAACCACAATTTCAGAAATTCCTGTGTTCCCTTCTCTTTTTAAGGTAGTAGTGAGTGAGTGACTGAAAGTTGCTCAGTCGTGTCCAACTCTGCGACCCCATGGACTTTACACACCATGGAATTTTCCAGGCCAGAATATTGGAGTGGGTAGCCTTTCCCTTCTCCAGGGGATCTTCCCAACCCAGAGATCGAACCCAGGTCTCCCACACTGCAGGCGGATTCTTTACCAGCTGAGCCACAAGGCAGTAGTAGTCACTAGTAATTACAGCACTAAAAACATATCATGCCAGACGCTGTGTTATTTCTAGATTTCAGCAAGGAATGTAAGCATCCTATTGATGCTACCTTGTGGATGACATGGAGAAATGTAGACTGAAAAATAGCATATATTGTGGTTTAGCAATAACATCCCTGTATTTTCCTCTAGAATTTGGAAACAACCGAGATGGATGTTTTTCAGGAGATCACCTTTACTAGTTACAAAATATTTTTTGATCTGTACCAATAAATAGACATCCCTGATTTAGAGATTAATTCACTCACCTGCTGGCCCAGATAGACAACTATGCCTCCTCCCCACTCTGGAAGAGGACAAAGCAAAATGCCATGGGGAGTAAGTCTTTTGATCTATGTATTTTTTCTTGCTCCTTTAGCACCCTCTAGGTATCTTAGAAACCTCAAGTTCTTTCTGCTTCATGACTTACTTAACATTAGCTCCTCACATAGCTATCTCATCTCCCTGAACTGTTATGTTCTTGGAGGTCACATTATCTTACTCATTTTTGAAACTCCTAGCAGATTATTATGTACACTGTGGGCTTCTGTATTTGTTATGTATTATTTAAGAGCCATATGAGCTTAGGTTACAGTAAAAAGTTTAAGAACTAAAGAAAGATCAATAGATTAAATTGAACCAATGACAAAAACATAGCTATTATTTATTAAGCACTTGTATATGATAGGAATGGAGCCAAAGTGCTTTATAATAAACATCTCATTATATTCTCATTGTAGTAGAAATAAGCTTACTAACAAATGAAGAAACAGAAATATATGGAGTTAACAAGATCATTTGTGTGAGATCACCCAACCATGATCTGATCTTGGCTATAACTCCAAAACCAAAGCACTGAACCACTACTGAGGTATACTGCTAAGCCTTCAGAGATCCTTCTTGATTGGTATTTGTAGGTACTACCGCATAGTGGTTGAGAAAGAGGGGTCTGGGACCACATTGCCATGGCTCATATTCATATTTTACTAATTACTGATATACGGTCAGGTTTCTTAACCTCCATTTCCTCATCTGTAAAATGGGAATAATATCCTTACTTCAGAGGATTATTGCAAAGATGCAATGGGTCAACACAAGTAAAAGACTGATGTTAACCTGTATTACTGTTATTTATCTGCTACTTTTGTAGACTTGGGCCTAGGAGCCAGAGTGTCCCCCATGACATTATAAAGGGGGAACAACATTGAGAAAACTTTATATTACACAACCAAATGTTACCTTACCTAAAAACTAAGAAGCTTTTTAGGGAATTGAAGGCTAAACTTCCTTTCCCCCTAACTTTCAGTAAGAAAACCAAAAAGAAGGTTAAAAAGTGAGGTGATTAGAAGTTGTATTCCTCTTCTTTAACTTACTTTGTTGGTCAGTCCCTAAAATGTTTCAATGAAATATGAAATAAATTATCACTCTCTTGCTACAAAACTGCACTCCAAGGTCTAAGTTGATAAGGAGCTTTAAAAAGACTTAAATCTTGACAGAAATAAGTGAAGTCAGTTTGTTGGAAGTTTTTTTTTTATTCTAAAAGAACTGATTGGTACAATCCTGCAGAACCAACATGTGTCATTTAGACAAATTTCTTTTTCTTTTCAAAAGTAAATGAAAACGCCCTCTAAATAATTTATATATCAATTTGTTTAATTTTTGAAAACAAAAGTCAATAGGGTCTGCTTTGTCCTATTTAACCATAAATGTTACACATTTACAAACTGAAGCAAAACTGGATAGTAGAGATTTAAAGAAAATCTTTAAAAGAATTTAAAGCAATTTTAATTGCTTTTCAGTCCACTGTGTTTTCAAAGTTGATTATCATCAAGCCAGGATGAAAGCTGTGAACTCCAGACCATCTGCTTCTTTAATAAAAAGAATGTTTAGATTATTAACAAAATAATATCTTTAAATGTTATCATCACACAGTTGGAATTTTAGTATAAACTTGCATATTATGTCCCTTTCCATTATTTATTCTACTTTAAAAATATATACAGCTGATGATGTTTAAATAAGTATTCTGAGCCACGTGTCCAAATATAAACATTTGAGAAATTCAAACTGCAGCAACAAGTTATGAAAGGATTAAAGAAAAAAGATAAGCTACAAATTATATAGGAGAAGGAAAAGTTCTACTTACTATTCATATCCAGGTAGATATGTATTTTCTAATTTTTATATACATACCTAATTGAATATAGACAAGCCATCAAACTTTAACCAATTACAGACTAGACTAAGTCAGTACTATTTTCTACAACAGGTAACAGTGGTGATTTAAAACTTTTTAACATACCTCAATAGTTTTATCACAAATTATTTGTGGTAATAGTCTTTAAATATCATGAAGTTTAGATAGGTACAGATTAAATCACTATTATCTATGCCAGACTTGGCACTGTGATGATACCCAACTCTGCTTAATTATGGTGTTAACTATCGGAACACGACAGAGCAGGCAGGCAACCAGAAAAGGACATTCAACATACTCTCAGGTTTATCACTTTAACAGTACTCTTTACAATCTGCAAATCTAAACACAGAGGGACACTTAAAAAGCTGCAGGGCAAGAACCCCAACAGTCTGTAAAATCTTTAAGTTTCAGTTCTTAATCCATTGATAAATATTGTTGAAGGAGTAGCTATTTGGTCTTCAAACATTTTAGAATTAAAGGGTTGAAAGTATGTTTATCCTTTGCTACACTGTCGTATTTTAAATTAGCAAGCAGGACAACCTGAATTCACCTTGCTCTTACATGCAGAAGTGTATGTGCATTTTAAGACAACTTAAAATTAAGAGTTAACTTTTAATTGGTGGCAGTTAAGGGATTTAAATTGCTGTCCAATCTGTATTCTGTAGTACCACATACCAAAGTCCTAAAAATATGCCAGTCATGTTCAGCGCTCATCACTTTCAGGTAGGGGGGAGAAACATGGCAAAAAGCAGTCGTAATTTTTTTTTTTTTAGAACAGCATAAGAGCTTTAAACACAATTTTGCATCATCTTGTATTCTATCCTAGAATATCTGGAACAAAATCTTATTTCAGTCAGCTCAATCTATGCAAGTTATAAAATACAAACACAGACTAAATCCTATAGTGTACAGAAAATGCACTATTTAATACTCATTAAATGCAGTACAATCAATGAAGATTATCAAACAAGAAACACACACACAGCATTCTAAATGTTTAAATCATCTTAGGGCTGCTAAATCAGAGATTGTACAAATTACATGTGCAAGGAAAAAAACAAACAAACAAACCCCAAAAAACAAAGAAGAAAAAGAAAGAAAAAAGCAAAGAAACTAACTTCTCAGTGCATCACACCCACTAGAATAAAATGTATGGCACTGTTACACTTTTACTTTTATATTAACAACGGTCAATTAAAGCTAGGAGTGACTCCCGACATTAAAGCCACATTAGAGCAAGAATTAGCCAATTCAATGTTTAATGAAACAGATCACCTTTTTTCTTTGTAAAAGCACTGAAAATGTAATGTGTGCTGATAACTCACTAAAAGTTTTCTCATGTCATTTGCTCCCCATTGTAGTGTCTTAAATTATTCTGTAATTATTCTACCTGTTAACAACAGTCTGATTTTTAAGGTCTCTGTAAACTGTTACTGAAACATACTAGTTCCTGTGTGGTAAAAATGTCTTTATGAAAAAAAAAATAACATATCTGGTCATAGATCACAGAATAAACCCAAACAACAAAATGACATTTTCCAAGCTACTGAGAAATAAATTAAACCATGATGTGTCAATTTAAAATTATATCAATATTAACTAACATTTCTATGCTAGATTTTTTTCCTCATAAAATTAAACAATGCAGAATAGGGTTTGGGCTACAGTTAATCACATATGGTTTTCTTAAAAACAAAACTTTATTTACTATAAACAACTAAAAGGTAATTTTCCTCCTCCACAACACGTCGGCATTAAATTGAAGGCTTCGTTTAAAATATCCACTGCTTACAAGAAAAGTACTTTTAAAAGGATAAGAGGAATCAAAATTACCAAAGTTTAGTGTGTCAAGAGTAGATAGAAACAACCCAGAAAAGTATAGATCATTGTGTTGAATATTTACGAATAGCCCAAAATAAGTCCCAAAGTTTTTCTACCTTTACAAATAAAAAAAGGTGTCCTTTCCACAGCTTGGGGATATGCATTGTACATCCCCCCCCACCCCCAACAAGTGTATGAGTAAGGTTCTAAAAATGTTGCCATATTAAGTTCTTCGGTACCTAAAATTAATTAGAGGACAGCAATATTACAGCGGCAATGGTGCATCAATTCTCAAATTATGATCCAACACGAGTTGTTGTGGTTCTTTTATCGGAGAAAAAGCTTTTCAGAAGGAACACCTGCCCTATGCTAACCACGAGGAGAATGAGGGCTTCTCCTACTGACCAGTAGGCCACTCTGGTGTTCAGGTCCTCGGCTCTGCTTCGGCCTTGAGCTTCTCTCAATAGGAATTGAGTCTGATAGTCAATGACAGATTTCAGAGCTTCATGGATTGAAACACAGGCAGATTCCATCTAAAGAGGAAGAGTTTCAGTTAGCAGGTTTCATACTTCCTGTACAGTCCATCTAGTGCATCCATCGTTTCCTTCAATCTGATCGCAAGTCCTCACGTGACTAACATCCCACTGAACTGGCCCTCATTCACTCATTCATTCACGTCAGTGGTCCTGGCAGAGCAAGCCCTTCCCTCGCTCCCACCAGGATGCCTGGCAGCTGGCTGCCCCAAGCTGGAGGGTGGCAGCTGCGGCATCCGTTCGGTGCCAGAGGACCCACGAGCCAGTGAGGGCTGGCGGCGACAGAGTGTTAAGGCCAGGTTTCTCCAGGAGGAAGAATCAGGAGGAAGAGAATGGCAGGTCAGCAATTTTGACCAATGATATGCATATGAATCAAAGTCCATGTATATAAAAAAGTAAGCAAAACATGGCATAAAAGTAGACTGTCAGTCAAAGTTATTTCAAGTATCTTAAAAACAGCTGAAACTTCAAAGTGGGAACTCTTCCCCCCACATTTACCACTCTGCTAAGTTTCTCCCTCATTCCAGTCAACAAAACCAATATATACGTTCTCAGTGGGACGTAAGTCTTATTTTCACTGTGAGTCAGTGGGCCTTCATCTGATGACATCTTACCTTTTTCTACATTACACTATTTGCTTGAGAAGGGTTAAGAGTCTACTTTTTCTAGTTGTTGTATACAAACAACCAGTTTAATATTTTTCTACTGCTGAAAATTTAATCCTGGCAGTGAGCTACAGGTTTTATTATATTATACTTATTTTACATCACAAACCACATATTAGGAGTTTTAAAAAAATGAGTTTGTTGTAATTTTAATAATAGACATTAGAAAATAATTTAAGCACTTAATAAAGTTCTACCAAAATAAGTAGAAAAGGAATAATTACAAAAATATTTCAGAGAAAGTTTCTTTAAAAAGCATGAGAGATTAGGAGGTCTACAAATTGAATTTACTGATTAGAGTACTCAAACTTTTTTGCTTCTTGTTTTGGTTCCTAGGAATGGAAGATCAGCATGTACTAAAAAGAATGATTCCTAAGTTTTAGTAAGAGGTAGACAGGTGCTTCTAGCATTTCTTTGCTTTCTATGTTGTCTCAAAACGAACAGTCTAAGAATTCTTCCTCTGAAAAGCATGTATAAAAACAAGGATTTGACACAAGTTCAGAGCATTCAAGGAATTCTTGAATCATGACAAAAGGGCACAGGTTAAGAATTACTGAACTAGAGAAAATCACAGAAATTAAAGAACTACTTACATGGATTCATAGAATTTTTGAGGTGGTGTTAGTTTTCTTTTTCATTCTACCTTCAAAGTGGAAATGTTCTCATGTCTTCAAAAGTAGAGAGACTAGTATGATGAACCCCATGTCAATAATTAAACACGGCTAATCTTATTTCACCTATCTTCCTCCCCATTCCAATTATTTTAAAGTATATCTCATATATTTTACCATTTCAGCTATACTTGTACATTTCATATTTATTTCTGAAAGGTAACAATTTATAAAAAATATAATCCCAGTGGCACTGTAACAGAGTAAGAATAACTCCTTAAAAGTTATCAGATATAAAGCCAGTGGAGACTGCCTGACCATCTAGTGGTCGGGACTCAGAGCTTTCACTGCCTTGGCCTGGGTTTGATCCGAGGAGGTTAGTTCCCTCCTAAGATCCCTCAAGTCACATGGCATGACCCGAAGGAAAAAGACAGCGTTCAGATTTCCCCAAACACCTCAAAAAAAGTTGTTTCCCAATCAGAAGGCAAACAAGGTCAATATAATCATTTAGCTGATATGTCTTTCAAGTCTTTGTTAATCTTTAGGTTTTCTTCCTGTTTTTTTACCCCCTTCCCATCTACTTGTTGAAAAAACGGGGTCCTCTCTCCATTAGCATTTCCCACTTCCTGGACTTTGTTGATTATTCCCCTGGTATTCCTCTATCCGTATTTCTTATAAATTATAGTTGGAGCCACAGACTTCATGGGTTTCAGTTGTAATATTCTGAATGGGAATACCACACAGGCAATGTAATGGACTTACTGCATTTTATCAGAAGACATGCTAATATCTACTTATCTCTGCATTTGTGAATGATGATTAGATTTAGGGGATATCAGATCTATCTGTTATAAAATTCCCCACCAATCTTTATATATGAACACCATCTACTTTACACTATAGTCATTCTATTTATTAATGGTGAAAAAATGGTGATTTAGCAAAACACTAGCAACTTCACTCACTCACCATTTATTTGGCCATTTCTCAGCTGGTAATTTTTTTAAACTCTACTGCGTGAACAGCTGCTTTATAGGAGACTTTTTAAAAGTGGAAAAATGTAAATAAGAAAAGCTTAAAAATATGAAACAAATAAAGGAGGTTAAGTGATCCTAAAAGCATTTATCTACTTAGGTTTTTAAAGCAAGCTATCGTATTACACAAATTAAAACTGCTCAAGGTTGAGTTATAAACAATAGTCCCCCAAAAAAACCTTTGCACAAAGTGCTGTTCACACATGATGCTAAAATAAAAAGAACATCACTAAAAATAAGGACATCTGAACACATCTTATTAATGTTTATAATAGGTTTATGAATTAAGGTTCTGACACACTCTTTAAAAAGTGCCTCTATCACTATGTGATCTTGGTCAAGAGACTACCTGGAACCTGGAAACAAGGAAATCCAATTCAAGGTTTTAATAGGAAAGTGGTAAATAATTCTTTTGGAAACCAAACTGAGTATCTTTTAGGCATACTTTAAGCTCCTACGGTATCTGAACTAGAAATAAAATAGCCCTTCTCATCACCTGAGCAGTATTTGTTCACTGGCTCTAAACTTCTCTTGCTATCTTTCTCTCATTAAGCTCTTCTTCAAAATAAAACCCAATTTAGCTACCTTAACTATTTTAGGTTTTTGTTAAGATGACTTACTAGTAATCTCTACTATTTAACCTTCAGTTACAGCACAAGTTATTTTAACAGCAGTCTGCGTAACACTAAACACTTGTATAAAAGTGTGTGTATGCAAATATATACATAGGTATATATTAATTATGGCATCACTTTGCTTCCACTTGTATCAACCTGCTAAGTTACAGTAGCAACATTCCTCCATAAATTACAGAAAATGCTTCAGAATGTTGGAGCACTGTTTAGGCTTTTAAACTTCCTTTGTTAATGACGTTTCTACCAAAGTGATCCTCCTATTTTAATGTCTATTTTCTTTTCATAAAATACTTTAACACTGGTCTTCACTAAAAGAGTCTGAAGTTCTCTGTGAAGTGCCTAATATACTGTGAGAGTTAAGATAGGTCTTAAAGATTGGGTTAAAGTCACAAAATTTGGTGTTTCATTAATGAGTTAATGCATATTATATTATGCCCTTTCCCCCCTTTAAACATACGACTTTTTATTACCTGGGTAAGAGCACTGACTCGGTTCTCACTAGGAAACAAAGGTGGGTCTTCTCCAACTTGAAAATCAAAATATACAGTTTTATGTGTGAAAGTAGAAAATTCATTGCTAAAGCAAAATTTGTATGTCCCGTTTTTGGAGGCTGTGAAGGTGTAACTATCATACTGCTTCTTCATCTCCTTGTACAACACGTTACCGTCAGGATCTTCTAGTCGACAGTCTACGTCGTAGTGACCACCAGTAATGACCTACAGAAGAGGAAAACAAACAGAAAATGAAGGGACCACTGCAGGCAACACGCCTGAGTGATAATCAGTCAGGTTTCCTGTTAAAACGGCTGTATACGGTTTTTAAAACAATCACAGCCAATTTATGTTTCTTGATTTCTAACAGTGGATGGGTCCTGGGAGGCAGATTTCAGTTCAACTAAAGCTTTACAGAAACTGAACACACTTCCTCATGACAGGAGAGGGAATGAACCAACACGCCAGAAGATGGTTCCAGTTACATCATTTAATTCTCCCCACAACCCTACAGGAGGGTATTTCCCCCTCATTTTACAAACGAAGAACCTGAGTTAAAATAAATCATCTATCCAAGATTACTCACCTATTAAGAGGCTGAATGCCAAACTTGTACTCTTGGCCCTAAGCTAACTGCCACGTACTATTTTCCTTCCCCAAATTTCCTTACCTTATTTCCCATTAGCATGATCCAAGCACTCACAGACTGTTCAGTGAAGCCATAAAGTAGGTCAGTCTTTTAGCCTGACACCCCATGCTATTATACGTATAGAATTGAAACTCATTTTACTGCCAAATTACAAACAGGCTGTGTTTCTTAAGTTCTTTTCTAGGTCAGTTACATGGAATTTGATGCATACTTTGTTTTGAATTATAGTTTGAAGAGAATTGACTTGTGGGTTGTTCTAAGAGTGTATCATTATTATAAACTTGTTTCCAAGAGAAGCATAAATGATTAAACTACTTTACTTAAACATGTGTGATTAAAGGAAAACCAAAACAGAACAATGCAAAAGCAGATAAATCTTTTGTTCATCTGCAAAGCCTGTATTTAACAGGAAAGCAGAGGTAGGTGAAATGCTTCTGAAGAGGACTCTGGAACTGTTTTCAAGGGGTTATGCTTATTCAGCATAAGCATATCTGAGCCATCTGAATTACACAAATGAAGAGAGGAAGAGGTACCAGGGCAAATGTAAGAGAGAAAAAAGCAAAGGAGTAAAGAGGAGAAACACTAGGAGGGAGAGGGGACAGGAGAAGAGTCCCAGGGTGCCTGTGTCCCCCGAGGAGGAGAGACACGGGGAGGAGGGCTTCCAACCACCACTGGACGTGTTGATGTTTTCAAGCTTGACCCTTCTGGTCTAGCATAGTATTGACATTCTAGATTTGTAAAACGAGAGATCAAACTCTGGACTTCAAAGAAGATTGGTTACTTACATGACCTTTGTCACTAAAGAGATATGAATAACTAAACTACAAGATCATTTCGATAATTAAATGATATGTAACTGGGCATTTAGGAAACTGTAAAACAGGCAAATATTAACATATAGATATAACATCTGACACAAAAATGACATCTTATCAATTGGGTATTCCCCTTTTCACCAAAAGTGAACAACCTTTCCTATAGGTGAAATACTGACTGCATTTTACAGACCCAATTATTCACACTTAACACCACAGTACTTTTAATTATTCAAACCTTCCTTCCAACAAACAGCAGCACCACTGCTGATCCTGCTGCTTTTTTCTTCTACCCTTTTTTACAACTAATCTTCTTTCTTCTGATGACTGTTGTTGTTTAGTAGCTAAGTCGTGTCCAACTTTTTGCAACCTCACGGACTGTAGCCCGCCAGGCTCCTCTGTCCACGGGATTTCCCAGGCAAGAATACTGGAGTGGGTTGCCATTTCCTTCTCCAGGGGATTTTCCCGACCCGGGGGTTGAACCCATGTCGCTTGCATCTCCTGCATTGGCAAGCGGATTCTTTACCACTGAGCCACCAGGGGCTAACAATCCGTCTGATCATGTGAGAAAGAAATGAGATCATTTTGAATGATGTGTCCCTACCTGCCCAATTTAGTCACAAAATGTCGACATTATTGATTCTCTCAAATTCACTCCATCTCTTCTGTTCCTGATCCACAGTCCAGACAGGACTACTGCCACAACTTCCTAAAAGGTCTTCCCAGAACCCAGTCCCTCTTCTGTCTAACCCAGGGTTCTTAACCTCGGTTGGACTATTTGGGGTGAACAGTCTTTGCGGTAGGGCTGCACTGCCCTGTGCACTGAAGCACATCTGGCAGCATCTCCACCAGAAGAGGGTAACACCTCCCTCCCCACGTGTCTTAAACCTTTTGACAGTTCCTGTGGCCTACAGAAAAACCCAAACCTGTCATCGACAGCATGCTGCTCCCAGCACTTCTTCAAGGAAGTCTCAGCACCTTTTATACCCTGTGCACTGCGTTCCAAAAACACCAGAATGCCAGAATTCTGTGAACAAGTCTCTGCGCTGACAGTGACAAGTTACACAGGGTCTGTTTGCTAAAGAAGCACAGGACCCAAAATGATTATGTTTACAAATCTACAACTGATTACAGGAAGAGATTACAGTATCAAACATCATAGCCAAAAGCTGTCTCACAGCAAGAGGACACAAGAGGTCAGGTCCGGGTTCCCCTGTCCTCGCTGTGAGGAACGAGGCCAGAGTAAACCTTCTGGGGTCAGGAACCACCCAGATGTACAGAAAACACTTTGGAACTAGTGAGCCCAAAACAAGAGTCTTGACAGGGTTTTTTATATTTTGCTGTTCACATAAGCATATTTCTGCCAGTAACCATTCTCAGTAGCAGACTCTCGGGGGACTCAAACTGAGCACGCACAAATCATCAGTCTCATTGTTACCAATGAACAGCGCCGACAAACTGGTATAAATCGCCCCTAAAGTCCTCAGATCCATAATCACAAAGCAACACTACTACTCAGTATATTTCAGTGCCGACTCAGGCTAATTTTCAGGCTTGCTGGAATTAAGTCTCACAAACATAACATATCTGCTGAGGAAGTCCTTTTCCCCTCTGCCAGCTTGTAGAGTAACTATTATTTATCCCTCCAGACTCAGCTCACACAGCAGACCCTCCATTAAATTTCCGCTGATGATTCTCCATCTTCAGCCAGCACAATACTTGGGGTGTACTTTCATTACTGCACTTAACGTTACATGACTATGTGCCTGTCAGGTCCCTGAGGTCAAGGTCAGCCTCATTTATCTTTCAGAGGTAGTACAACAATTAAGAACTTATAGAACTGCATACTAGTTCTGCTACTGCTACAGTTTGGGACCTTGGGTATCACTAGTAAATGAGTAATAAAAAAAGCTTTATCCATCTCATATCGGGTTGTCCAGGGAATTAAATACTACACCTGAAATGCTTGGTATACTGTCTGCCACACAACAGATGCTGATTTTTTAGCCTGTAATAGTACTCTCACCACCAAGCATCTGCAAGCATCTGCATGCAGAAGTCAAGAAATATTTAAGTTCAAAGAAATAAACTTTTCACTGACATTTTACAATTCTTGCCATCATCTTTTCTGTCCTCATGAAGTTAAGCAAGCTAAAGAGTCATCCTTGGCCTCCCTCACTCACTGTAGCCAAATTACCACCAACTTCTGTGGATTTTACATAGAGTATCTCCCATTCTTTCACCTTTCACTTTCCTTCTCCCTGCTGCTACCACCCTAGCCTCAGCCTGAATCACTACAACAGCCTCCTAATCAGTCTTTTACTGATACATCTACTTGGCAGCTCTCAATACTTTCTCTACCTGCTCGTTAATACCCTGACAGCTACCCAGAAAATTTAGAACTTGTCGTTGCACTGCTTACAATCCCAAGATAGCTTCTCATCCTCTCAGGAAAAACTAAAATCTTTAACTCAACCAGCTGGGCACCACATGGTCTGGCCTCTGCTGACCTCCCTTCTTCTGGCTCCTTATTCCCAGCTGCAGTATTTCTTCAAATTTCTAGTCGTAATTACCACAGTTCTTCAAATTCCCAGTCACGGTTTCCATAATGACCCTGCAAAGTCCATTCCCTCTTTCTCCTTATCTAAGCATTTATAACTTATCCTTTACAGTTTGCTATCAAATCGCTTCCTAAAGGAAGCCAAGAGATCCCAAAGACCAGAACGCTTATCACCTATTCTTACTGCTCTTAAAGCACAATTTTATAGAATGAACTAGTACTAATAAAGAAAAGAAGGTAGGATGGGTAGAGAATCAAGAATGACTGCAGCGATCGTATCTGTTTTCTTCACTTCTGTTATCAGCAGCACCTAGTACTCAATAGCTGTTCAAATATGCGAAGTCAACCATCAGTAAAAAAGAGAGTAAAGAATGTTCTAACCAAGAGGATGAGATGGTTGGATGGCATCACCGACTTGATGGACATGGGTTTGGGTGGACTCCGGGAGCTGGTGATGGACAGGGAGGCCTGGAGTGCTGCGGTTCATGGGGTCGCAATGTGTCGGACACGACTGAACGGAACTGAAATGAACCAAGTTAAGAAACTGCTACTGCTGCTGCTGCTGTGGTCGACTCTGTGCGACCACATAGACGGCAGCCCACCAGGCTCTGCCGTCCCTGGGATTCTCCAAGCAAGAACACTGGAGTGGGGTGCCATGTCCTTCTCCAAGTTAAGAAACTACATCTGTTAAATAAGCACTTTTATATTATTCCAAAGAAAAAGTGCCTTTCACTTATCACAGCAATTCTTTCTACAAAACCTCTGGCAGATGGTCATCTGGTCTGGAATAGAGCTCTTCCAACGAAAGGGACATTAACCAATAGTCCTAACATCCATGGAAAAGCTGAAAAGCAATGGAGTCAGATACTGGCAGCACTTGAAATACGATGAAAGTGGAGGTGTGGTTTAGAGAGTGGCGAACTGACGTAAGGCACAATACAACAGGAGTAACTTTTTTTTTTTTTAGCTCTTGAGGAAGAAAGTTCAAAATGAAGGACATTAGAGAATGGATGGAAAAGTCACACACACAGGAAGCATTTCTGGAATTCGTGTATCTTAATATCTGTTCTTAATTATCTAATGTTCAAGGTTTCAGAAAGGAAAGCCAAACGGCCTGCATCGGCTACCTAGATGTGATTCTGAAATGAGACACAGAATGAGCAAACGGCCTCGGCCCTGGAGCCGCGCGCTGCGGCCGGCAGCTGCCTGTGCCCGCAGTACCTGGAACTCGAGAGTGCACTTGGTGCCCTGCGTGATGTCCTCGTAGAAACACTGCTTGGCATTGTCAGGCAGCTCGAAGGTGATCTCGGAGGCGCCGCCGGGGCCCGGCACCAGGAACAGCAGCAGCACGAGCAGCCTGCAGCCCCAACGGCCCGCGGCGGCCGCCCAGCGCGGCGCGGACCCCAGCCAGGGCATCCCGAGGCGGCGGCCTCAACGGAGCTGGGGAGACACGGGGTCAGGTCTGCACGAACTCGCCGCGGCGCGGCAGGCCTCGGTCCGGGCGGCGCCGCCAAGACGCACCGCCGCGTGGCTCCGAGCCCCGGAGAGAGTCGAAATGCAGAGGGAGTCCCTGGGTACTGCGGAAAGTACTGAGGCACCAGGGCGCAGAGGCCAGAACAACCCGGAGAGCGGAAACAGGGCAGGCAGAGAACAGGCGGAAAAGGCCTGCGACGGCCGGAAGCGGGTACTAAGGCTCAGGGGAGACGAGGCGGGGCCTGGGGCGCCTGCTCCCGCGACCCGGATGTACTCGCCCCGGGCCGCGGGGACAGGCGTTGGAGTGCGTACGTGGAAGCTCGCGAGGCGTCAGCTCTGCCCCCGCCAACCCCGGGCCGAGAGGCGGGGCCAGCGTGGCGTGCGTGGCGGGGCGGGCCCGGAGAGGGGGCGTGGCCGGCGGTAGGTGGGGAGTGCTTCTGCAACCGCTGGGAGTCGGGGGAGCCGCCGAGAGGGAGGAAAGAAGGGGTCTCCTGGCCGTCAGGGGCTCGTACCCGGAAGGAGAGCGCTCTGCGATTTCCGGAGAGTTTTCCTGTGAATAATAACAAATTTGAGGGGAAGCAGCTTTGCTGGGAGCGCGAATTCTCTGACCACAAGACTGCAGGACTTCTAATCCCTCCTCTGTTATTTATTAGCCGCTTGACCTTAAACTGTCTGCTTAAGCTCTCTCTTTTAGTCTTTGCAACTGTAAAATGAGGATAATAATAGTACTTAACCCAGATGGTTACTATTTGAAAAATGCTGTGTAAGAGTCTTGTTATATAATAAGCAGCATATAATAAGCACGTGGGTAGGAACCAGGCAGGGAAGAGGGGCTTATGGAAGGGGGGATGGAGAGATCTTTAATGGCCTTGGGTGCCCAAAGCCTCTGCAGGGGAAAAGGAGCCCCTAGGAAATGAGATTTGGGGGAGACTGTACCTTTCTGAGAACAAGTGAATGGGGGCAGGACCCTGTGGGGCCTTCCCAGGATAGACAACCCCTTCCCTCAACTCCCAATGTTCTCAGCCTGCCCTTAGTCTGTAGAAATACTTTGGTCAAAAATAAATCTAATCAGAGAAGTGAAAAAAAATGCAGAAACGAAAACAGACAAGACAAAATAACAAAGTTATTAAACAATGTCAAGGACCTTTAGTTCTTTCTCAAGGGCTATAGATAATATTCTGAGCCATATCCTTTGAGCTGTCTCGTAGAAAATGAAACCCCCACCAGGTAGAAGAAATTAACTACATGATGACCAGACTGTATCCATGACATCAGTTTAGTTCATTTCAGTTGCTCAGTCGCGTCCGACTCTTTGCGACCCCATGAATCACAGCACGCCAGGCCTCCCTGTCTGTCACAAACTCCCCATGACATAAGCTACCACAATTCCAAGAACTGGCATCAAAAGAATAGGAACAGACTGACTGGAGATGAAGATTTATTGTACTTAAAACAATCGAGATGACACTGACCAGACCACTGCGTGACTGACTTCAAGAAGACTGTCAAAGTTGACTGCTGTTTCTGCATGTATAGCCCTCTCCCTCCTATACACCCTTGAGACTCCCCTTTAAAAGGTCTTGCTCACTCATTGTCAGTGGGGCTTTGGCCTTGGACACAAGTCTGCCTCTCCCTGTTGATTGCCAGTCTCCAAAACAAAGCAAACCTTCCCTTCCAACCAATCTTGCTCTTGAGTTTCAGCTTTCTAGTGCCAAGCAGCTGTACCTCGCTTTCGGTAACACTCGGTTAGAAAAAGAAGTAGTATTTGTATCTGTGAGTGGAAAGAAGACTGAGTTTCAAAGGAGAAAACTTGGATTCTATTTTCTTACTCTTCACTTTTGACAAGTAACATTGCTCTTCTAACCTCCATTTCTTCATGCATCAAGTGGCAATACAGAGAATGAATGAATAAAGATTAAGACCATAATGAATATAGCACACACCACCAGAAAGGCAAATAGACTAATTTTTAGAAATACAACAATACCAGATGTTGGTGAGTAAATAGAACAAGATCCCTTGTACATCCCTGGTGGATATGTAAGTTGACACAACCACTTTGGAAAACAATGTGGCATCATCTAATAAAGTGGAAGATACATGGATGACCTAGAAGTTCCACTTTGCAAATATTTTGAAGTATATACTTTACAGCAGTGATTCTCCAAGTGTGCTCCAAAGATGTTTGGGAGCCTTTGAAATCCCTTCAGAGGGTCTGAGATTATCTAAGATAGGTTGGATTCTCATCAAACATCTCAACCAAAACAACATATAACATATTAAATGTACAAGCAGATGAGTACCCAGCATCTTGTATGAATCTAGATATTAAAGAGATTCACACAAATGTAAAGCAATATGACCCTTATCACTAAATTTTTATTTGGGCAGTATTTCTATTTTTCATTTTAAAATGTGTTGTCTGTGTTAACATATGTAGTAGGTAAAACTGTATCCCCCAAAACACAGGTCCAAATCCTAACTCCCAGGCCCCGTGAATTCAAGCTCACTAGGAAATAAGGTGTCTGAGATGTAATTAAGTTAAGAATCTCAAGATGCAATCATCCTGGACTTAGGGCGGACCCTAAATCCAATGACTGGTGTCCTTAGAAGAGAAAGAAGAGGGAGAGCTCAGACACACAGGGAGAACACCATATGAAGACAAAGAGGTTGTAGTGATGCATCTACTAGCCAAGGATTGCCAAGGACTGTCCACAGCCACCAGCAGCTGGGAGAGCGGTGTGGAACAAATTCTCCCACAGAGCCTCCAGGAGAACCATCCCTATGTGAGTGCTCAGTCGTATCTGACCCTTTGTGACCCCATGGACTGCAGCCTGCCAGACCCCTCGTCCATGGTATTCTCTAGGCAAGAATACTGGGGTGGGTTGCCATTTCCTACTCCAGGGGATCTTCCAACCCCAGGGATGGAACCCACGTCTCCTTTGTCTCCTCTGTTGGCAGGCAGATTCTTTACCACCTGGAAGCCAGCAATACTTCAGTTTCAGGCTTCTGACCTCCACAATTGTGAGAGTATACTTTTCTTTGTTTTAAATCATCACATTAGTGCCAGTTTGATATGGCAGCCTCAGGAAATCAATACAACACATATTATTTTTACTTTATTTATTTATTTATTTTTAATTGAAGTATGTGTGCGTGCTAAGTTGCTTCAGTCGTGTCTGACTCTTTGTGACATGGACTGTGGCCTACCAGGTTCCTCTCTCCATAAGGTTCTCCAGGCAAGAATACTGGAGTGGTTTGCTGTGCTTTCCTCCAGGGGATCTTCCCGACCCAGGGATCCAACCTGCGCCTCCTGCAGCTCCTGCATTCGAGGAGGATTCTTTAACATGAGCTACTGGGGAAGCCCCTGTTGAAGTATACAAATTATGTCAGGTTCAGGCATGCCCCGTCATGCTCTGACAGTCAGACACATTGCAAAATGATCACCACACTCCAGGAGCCATTTGTCACCACACAGAATTGTTACAGTATTATTGACTGTATTCCCTATGTTGTATATTATATTCCCATGACTCACTTATTTTATAACTGGAAATTTGTATCTCTTAATCCCCGTCACCTATTTCATCCAGTCCCCACCTACCTCCCTTCTGGCAGCCACTCTGTTTTGTTCATTTGTTTTGTTTTTAGATTCGACATATAAGTGAGACTGAGGCAGGAGGTAGACAGCCCCTCCTAGAGTAGATACTCCAAGATGAGAATCGCAGCACAATTGAGGAAGGAGGCTGGGCCCTGCCCAGATAGAAGACAAGAGACCACATACTTCTCATTCTGCAAGTCAGGAGACCGCCCCAACTCGGCACATGCTCAGAAAGGCTCCTCGGAGGTCCAAAGGGGAGTGATGCTAATTTTGAGGAAGGAGGCTGGGCCCTGCCCAGATAGAAGACAAGAGACCACATACTTCTCATTCTGCAAGTCAGGAGACCGCCCCAACTTGGCACATGCTCAGAAAGGCTCCTCGGAGGTCCAAAGGGGAGTGATGCTAATTACCCGAAGGCCCCTTCAGTAGAATCCCGCTTGGCTGAAAGATGCATTTGTACACATGGAAGGATCCTGAAATATACCAAATATAGACTCTGAACCAGACGAATCACAATGACAGGCCAAAGGAAACAGAAGAAATGCCCCCTGGAAGTAATTCACATCACCATGAGGACACGACTCCGAGACTTGGAATCCACTCACGTGTCTATCTGCTTTTCTTTTTTCCTCCTAATAAGTACTTTACTTGTTTCACTACTTTCCATCTGTGTGGGAATTCTTTTCCTGCAAAGCCAAAGAGCCAGGGCCTTGTCATTGACCTCTGGTCTAGCGGCTAGGACTCGATGTTCTCATCACTGTGACCCAACCTCAACCTCTGACCAGAAACTGAAGCCCCACTCCAAGCCTCTGCAGGCTGAGCTACCCACGATCAAGGTCATATTGTACTTGTGTTTCTCTGACTTATTTCATTTATATTACACTTTCGAATATCCATGTTGCTGCAAGTGGCACAAATTCATTCTCTTTTATGGCTGAGTAATAGTCCACTGTGTATATATTGTTTTATTATTGTTAAGATAAATTATTCAGAAAATATTTTGTGTCTCAGATCTCTATAATTTAAATCTGTAATTAAATAATTTTTATTCATTTATTTTTAAGATTCTGAAATCAAAAGATTGAGAACCACTTATGCGTAGGTTTACCAGGATACATGTGCAAGAATACCTAAAGCCAAAGTCTCATAATAATTCCAAACTGGAAATAGCCCAAATATCCATAAATTTGAGTACAGTCTAAGATAGGACATTACATAGAAATAAAAATGAACATATTACAGTTACACAAGACAACATGGGGGAATCTTACAAGCATAATGAAATAGAAACTAGGCAAAAAAGAAACCCCTATCAAATTACGAATGGTATTTTTCACCGAATCAGAACAAATAATTTGACAGTTTGTGTGGAAACAGAAAAGACCCTAAAGAGCCAAAGCAATCTTGAGAAAATAGAATGGAGCTGGCAGAATCAACCTTCCTGACTTCAGACTATACGACCAAGCGACAGTCATCAGGACAGTATGCTCTAGTATTTTAAATGGAAAGATAATCATGGATTCCATATCCATACAAAAAATCTAACCAATTTTCTTAAATATCACTGAGTATACTCTTCAACACATATAACATTTCATTATATCTACATGATAAGCACTTTAAATACTAGTCATCCTATCACTTATATGTAGAATCTAAAATATGACAGAAATA